AACTAGTCTCTGATCACTCCTCATGGTTCCTCCATTAACAGCTTTTCTTAGTAAGATTCTGCCCTCATCCTCTAGAGATTAGTGGTTCAAAGCTGTCTTGGCTATAAATAATAAAGACATTTGCAAAGCGAATCATCTTATTAAAAATTGGGATTTTTTTATCCCTCCAACCACAACAAAACTCTTACCGTTGAAGAGCAACAGGACTTGGCTGTGAATTGGGAAGTTCAAAAAGGGCCACTTGCAGAGCCGACAGACAGACACCCTCCCTCTTCTCAGCAAGATCACCCCAAAGGAAAGGAATGGCTTCTCCATTAAAAGTTGCAGGTTTCCTCTCTTCCCACTCCTGTTCAAGATTACTCTATTTGTTGGCTTTGCTGGATCTTTGGGGAATTATCTTCAGCGTTACATTTATTAGTCAAAATAAAACTGCATGTCAAAGAACTTCTTGATCTTTCCCCTTCCATTTTGTTACACTATTTTCTTACCACCCTTGGAGCCCTTTCTCTACCATGTTATTTCTTCTAGCATTTAGGATATTTTTGTGCTCCCGTCTTTTCCTTTTGTGGGCAATTTCAGACATACTGCAATTCTAGACATCTTTCTGCTGCTGGTGGAAGAATAGATTTGTTGCAGTGAGTCTGGATGAGTGCAATTGTGGGAACTGTAATAGGGGCAGGAGGGGGCCTCTGTTTGTGGGAAAGATGTAATAAGAATCCTCTTCCACAACTTCTTACTCCATAGCAGCCCCTGTGGGGTACCCAGAGGAGAACAGGGTGTGTTAGTCAGTCCGGGAAGGAAAACGAATCCCAGAATCTGTCTGTGCCCAGCAGCCTCTGGAAAGAGTCCCCATTCAGTTAACTGTTATAAATATGGTTACTTGGTCTAAATACTTCTGCAAAACTGGGAGGAAATGCAACAAAAGACATAGCTACTGATAGGACTACTCATAGGACTGGCCTCTGACCCGCCAATGCACACACCAACACCCAGGTCCTGAGCACACCTTGCCGTGACAAGAGTAACAAGGTCAGCAATAAGCCACCTAAAGATCCATTTGTCTCTTCTTTCAGTTCTCTGTTATAAGGGCTCAGAGGGAAACAGCAGATGAATCAGTTCTCCAAAAGCAGGAGTGCCACCACCAAGAGGAAAGGAGAAATGGCATCTCCAGATTTCTGCATCTGCCTGCCTCTGCTCCTCTCACCAAGCCATGGAGCAACCCTCCCAAAACTGGCTGTCAGAGGCTACATGCAAAGGCACATCTGTACAGAAAAGACACTCTAGTAAAATATCCAAATCCTTCCTGCTCAGTACAACCTACTCTAGAAAGAGAGACTAACATATACGCTAACGCACTCACCCAGTGTAAACTGTGGCCAAACAAAACTGGTGTGCAGTGTAAGGGTCAGCATAAGGCCCTGGTTTCCTGAACCGTAAGGACAGCCAGCTTTTACAGTGACCCCGTGTGCCTACCTAACACTCCTCACTGACACAGCTTCTCCGGTGATACTACAGTGAGGACTGTCCGGGTAGGCCATGGGTTGGCTTTTTAAATCCAGGCATGGTCAAGCCCTGGTGTGCTTAACCCGGTGTCATGGGGACATGTCCTGCCCACTCCTGCTGCTGAGGAGGAGGCTGACCCTAGTTGGATACAAACCCGTCAGGGAAATAAGTCCCTGGGGACTTCCAATACAGAAAAAATTACAGCTACTCGGAAAACAGATCAGCCGAAGCACCCTTTGTCTGTCTGTTTATGCCTATTGGGTCTGTCCTTCAGCTAGTATAAATCTGCCCGGCGCTACTGCCTTTTGTAGTCTTTGCCAGCATACACCAGCTGATGACTTAATGCTAGCATCAATAATCTTTAGCACAAGAAAAGCCCCGAGAAATAAACAGTGCTGTAGAAAACCCCATACCACCAGTACATCAACACTGAGAGTATTTCACACACAGTGGATGGCAAGGAGAGGCTGTTTACAAACTCACAGCTAGGGAAAAGAGCAGCCCAAGAGTGTGGAAAGCCCTTATTGCTGAATTCCCCCTGCAGCCGACAACAGGTACTGATCAGTGTCTGCTTCAAGATCTGCGGAGAACGACAGATTAGAAATCAAACTGCAAAAATACCCTGTATCTGTGCTCGCGTTTCTGTGCTGGGGCAATGTTGCTGACTGGTCCCCTTTGGCTGTAAATATGATGCTGTCAGTAGTGAGAATATTTCTTAATCAGCACTGAAGAGTGGCTGCCAGGAAAGTAGAAGTGGCTGTCTATCAGTCTTGCTTCTGCAGAAAGAGTGATTGTTTAAAGGGGGGGGGGAGTTTGACCTTTCCATTTTTCAAATGTGTATCTCTTTGCCAAGACCGTGTCATTCATTGTAAGCATTTTGTTGTTCAAAACAAATCTTACAATGTCAACTTTTTTTTTTTTTTCTCCTGCAGTATGTTGCCATTCATCAGCCTCATATTAACAAGTAAGGACCCAGCATGTAAGATCCATCCCAAAATAAAAAGCAAGTGCAGGACCCTACTTCTAAGGAGCAACCAACTCTTCAGAAACGGGCAATGTCTTAGGTGAACGGAGCAGGCAGGTGTAGGGTGGTCAGTTTGCAGAAGCAACCCTACAATAATAAGAAAGTGCTCTCCCTCTTGTGCTTGTAAACAATCCTCCAACAGTAAACAAGAGCACGCCGGCAGATATCGCTAAGAAATACCACAACAACAAACCAACCTGCGGCGGCTGCTCCTCAGAAACAGCTTAGGCAAAACTATGACAGTGATGCAGAGAAACGGGCGTTGAGATATCTGAGGATGAGAAACATTTTAAATCATGAAGGACATGCTTAAAATGCTTCAGAGTACCTTGGGAGTGCTGGGGCCATTGTAAGAAACAGGGACAGCGATTGAACAGGCAGCATGTGTATTCTGTATGTTGCTGTGCACTGCGCTCAAACGTACCTATCATGGCATTAAACGCTGCTCTGGTTAATCAGGAAACTACCCAGCAACAACACGAAAAGTTTGCACAACACCAGCAAGCACACACAACCTACTCCAAAAGATATCTGGGTGAGGAAAGGTGCTCCTTTCATCAATACAAAGAACCTCCAAGGCTCAATGCTTGTGCAGATAATGAAGCCAAACATGTTTACACACCAGTGATCATTACACGCAGCGATTAGAGGAGATCTTAGGTTAATTTTCATCTCCGCTAGCTAACAGACTGCTGACCTGCTGCCCCACCTAACCTCTCCGGAGTGACAAGTCAGGTGCTTTCACAAGCCGACGAGGCTGTCTCTTTCCTGGGGAAAACAAAGACTTTCCTAACATATATGATTAAGAAGGTCAATGAACCCCATGCATTCAAACTGATGTAACAGGACCAGCTGAGCTAAAGCAAAAATTCCTTTTGCTGGAAGTAAATAGCACACTGTTATCTCCCCAGGGGCCAGGCAATAACAGGAGGCATGTTCCCATTCACTCTGCCAGTGTGTGATACGCTACTGCTCTGCCTATAAATACAACAGCTTTTTTTTTTTTTGCCTTTCTGTTTTTTTTTTAAACACGGCTGTGACAACTTCATCTCATCTGGGTACAACAAACACGCCTGAGTCGTGGCTACACAGCAGGGCTTTCCATCGTGTGTGCACGTGGTGGTGTTTGTTCCACCACGGGACCATACGTTACCTACTGCACGGCGTGGTTGCGTTGCTCCCAGCGCATTAGGAGAGAATCAGGGCAGTTCTCTGCAGCGGCTATTTGGGGACAGAATGCTTGGGGACATGCACGTAAAGCAGCACCTGAACCGGAGACAGCGGGCTTCAGTGGTACTACAGCACGGGGAGCTCGGACAAGGAAGAAGTTACGAAGGCACTGGTAGGGGTCCAGAGGAAAGTTCCTTTTACAGTGTGAAATAATAAATAAGACCATGATAAAAAGGCAATACTGGGCTCGGGATTCTGTCTTGGTACTATGCCAGCGAACCACGCTTTGTGCATTTAAAACTGACCTGGTCATTAATTTGTTACAGACTTGTGCAATGTGAACAAGGCCAAGTCTCTTGGATAAAGATGTTTTCTCTTGCAAGCCAACTGGAAATGCTTGGCTTTTACTATTCACAGAGAAATCTGCTTGTCATATCTGTGACACGGCATT